CTTAATGGTACTACATCTACATGGAGAAGAGTAAGCAGGTTCCATCTTAGGCCCAGTACTCTTTAATATTTTCATAAATGACTTAGATGGGGGAATAGAAGGGGAACTCATTAAATTTTCAGATGACGCTAAGCTGGCAGGAACAGCCAAAACCCCAGAAGGCTCAGGATCCAAAAAGTTATTGACAGACTTGAACAATGGGCCCTAACAAAATGAAATTTAATGTGGAAAAAGGCAAAATTTTATTCCTGGGCAAGAAAAATCAAAGGTACAAGTACAGATTAGGCAACACCTGGCTCAAAAACAGTAACTGTGACAGGGACCTTGGAGTCCTGGTGGACGATCACATAAAAAAGGGGTCAGCAGTCTGCAGCAGCAGCCAAAAAACCTAATAAAATCCTTGGTTGTATAAACAGAGGCACTGAATCAAAATCACGTGAAGTATTAGTTCCACTTTATAAAGCCTTAGTAAGACCACAACTGGAATACTGCATTGTTTTGGTCACCACATTACAAAAAAGATGTTGAGATGTTGGAAAAAGTGCAAAGAAGAGCAACCAAAGTGATTAAAGGCCTGGAGACTAATATAGGATAAAAGATAAAATGAAGCATTCAAAATACAATATTGCAATAATTTAAAAAATGGAAAATAAATCAACGCCAATTTTCTTTTTAGATTTCCAAATTCTTGTACATATTTTCTCGAAGATTATCACACTAAAACCAGAATTTCTTTTTCAGTAAAAACTGTGCATCCCAAAGTTAAAATCGATTTTATTACTAAATAAGCAAGATGATAGTGCAGAATTTGGAAACACATTCACATTCATTTAACATTTCTCATTTCTGTGTACAGTAGAGTGTCATCATCAGTTTCTATTTCTAATACACATTACATTCTTCCCCCTTTGAAATTTTTGCACCCAAGCTTAAAGATGTCTGGAAATGCAATTTTTAAAATGAATTTCTATGCTCACGGAGTAGAAGATCATAATGTTACTTGCTTTTTGTTCAGCTTGTATTATGAACTCAACCATAGTATATAAACTTATTTTTAACCATGTTATATAAACCTTATTCAACCATGATTAAAACATACTATGGTTAGTGTAGTATATGATCTCAGTTTGGTGGTCAACACATGGGAAGCGGTGAAAAAAGATGGCAATAGGACCCATCTAGGTAGGGAATGACTAGGTATGTTTTCCCGTATATATCCATAAGATTTTAATAAAAAGGTAGAATAAAACTATCAATAGTGTAACACTGAACATCTATATTGCCTGCACTTTATCTGGGAAATGCCCCAGAAATTATCAGTATGACTTTGCAAAAACCTCCTAAATGCAGAATGGCATTACAAAATCAGTACACTACATAAAGGCCCTATAATGTAATAATTATATTTGAAAGACATACTTCAGAAACAAAAATAATTCTAGCACATGTTTGCCTCTGCTTGCTTTTCTATTATTTATCTAAGCAAGTTATTTATCTAAGCAAGTCCATTAAAATGGGTAAAATGAAAGTAAAATGATTAAAAATTGTAACTGTATAGTGTTTAAAATCAATTTCAAGCAAAGGGCTACTTATTACTTATTTAAAGTATTTTTATACGGCCTTTGTAAAAGTTTTCTTTACAACTTTGTGTCTCTCTGTGTATACATAACACATATATTAAGAGCTGAAATAATTATTGCATAAAGTACATAAAGAGATAGCAAAAACGTAAATCTATATACTAATTGGTAAATTATTATGTACTATTCAAACGTAAAATTATGTACTTTACAAAATATAATTATATAAAATTAACAAAATTTCTTTAAAGAAAACCTTTACATTTATTGGCCAATTTATTACCAATACAAAATAACAGAGTAATATTCTCCAAGGTTATCAGTTCTTTAGAATCTGTGGCTTCCCCTGTATTGCCCAATTGAAAGTTGTGATGAACAAAACTGAACATGCCTACAGTTGCTAGAGGCTTTACTATCACAGAATGCCACACAATACTATTTTAAACATCAGCAGAAAACCCAAGATTATAAAATATATTACTGTCATGTTACTCTCATCCTTCACTCATAATTATAGCATTGTTACTAATTGCACAATTAATTCATCCAGGTTTCCTGCACAATTTATTGATCAAACAGAGGTCATAAACTTTCAAAAATGTTTGTACAAGGCACCTTTCCATACTGCAGCACCCAAAGGCAATGGGTTGGATCCAATCTTTGGAGAATGTATTGAAATTAATGAAATTGTTTGAGAGATGCCCAACCTTGCTTTGTGTTAACCAGAGTACTTAATGAGAATATAAGTAGCATCATCTCAACCTGTCCATACAGCTCTTCAATTTGTAGCTTATATAAAGATAAGCATAGTATCTGAAACATTTTTGGTAAGGGTGAACTAAACTTAAATTTAGTCCCTTGTTTATTATAAAACTGAACCCAGCTCATTTAAGAGATTTACGCATCTTATTAAGTACTACAGTGATTTATTTGGGATAATGTGTATTCTGTCAACCAAAGAATTCTGATTTATAAACCATGGAATACAGCTTAAGGAAATACACCATAGCTTCTTTAACACAAGAATCATTATTACTCCCTCATAGCTGCTGTTAAATGGCCTACTGCCTTTGAAGTTGATGGCTATATGATCTAATTATCAAATGGTTAATGACTAACACATTAATATATTACCACACTCACACAAAAAACTTCAAATGTTCTCATCCAGGCTTTGCATATATAAAGTATATTAAACTTTTAGCTTTCTATTAAGTATTGTGAAGAACATAATCAACTCAATGCATAGTTGAAACTGAAAACAAACCATAACATTGCATCTAACATCATGAATCTAAATATATCTGCTATGTCATTAAGTTTTGCATGTACTGCAAATAGTTTGATACAATCTGGCAAAAATTATACAGTATGTGTATGATACTTTATTCACAACCATATGAAATATCACTGATTTCTTTTGCATGAATTTTAGCAATATATTTAGAATCCAAATTTTAGTTTGATCAATGTTAATTGATCTGATTATTTAATTCAAAATATAGTACAAGTATACAGTCTTTGTATACTGTATATTTATAAATAGAAAGTTATGATAAAATTCTATTGCAATTCCAACAGAGAGAAAATTTCAAACATATAAAACATTGGATAACAAAGATAAACTTTATTTTCACTTTGTGTTAATTTCTAACCAACCTTAGGTTACAATTACATAAGTTTTCTGATGCTCAGAAAATCTTATTAACAAAAGCAGGCATTATAAATTTCAATTAAAACCTACCATTAAATTAAGACAGATAAAATAAACACAGGTAAGAAGAGAATCTTATAACCAAGTAAGTAAACATACATATTGATTTTACAGTTAAAATCAAGTTATGCCTGAGATGCTAATAGGATACATTTTTCTTTTACTTTGGTACACTAGCAAGATATTTCTCTCTTTGCTGGTGTTTGCACAGGACGCTTTCTAGGATTTGCTAAATTGTCCCAACTGCTTATGCTCAAGCAATACAACCATTAACTAACCCCACTGGCTCAATTCACACAATACATTTAATTAAAACATGGTCGGCTGGTTTGTGGTCAGCTCGCCTATCATGAAGTCACTCAAGAACTCGCCCTCTCCTTTAATTTTACCCAGCCACCCTAAATATATTAACTTTGTAACAATGACCTCCATTAAATATTGCAGCGATATTTTCTTTCGGCTAGGCAGAATCCAAGGGCTCTTCCCATTGTTAGACTGGTGCATGTATAGTTATTTTTCTCTCCCTCCTTACTCCCCCCCCTCCCCAAACCTCGCAGCCCTTACTGCCCTGTTGCATCAACTTCCTGTCCAAGCTCCTCGCTTTGGGATGATGGTGAGAATTCTTGGGTCTCTCTCACACCCCTTTCCCTCCTCCGGTATGTCAGCTTCCTGTGCAAAAATCCCGTACGCCAGGCTAAAGATGCCTGTGTGTTGCCGCTGCCCTTGGTGCATCCACTTCCTGTGCAAAGCCCCTTGCATTGGGGCGATTGTTCTTTTTTTTAAAAAAAATAATATTATTATTCCTGCCTTTGGTGCATCAACTTCCTGTACGGATTCTTTTGCAAATGGGTGAAGAGCACGTTTGCGAGGGCACTACCAGCTTGTTCGCTGCTGCTGCTGCTGCTGTTGTTGTTCTTTTCCTATTGCCCTGGTGCATTCGCTTCCTGTGCAGAATCCTTTACATTGGGGCGGGGTGGGGGGGCGAGCGAGCGAGGATGCTCGGCTGCATTTCTCCACATTCCTTAGTGTATCCGCTTCCTGCGCAGAGCCACTTGCAATAGGGGGGGAAAAAAAGATGCTCGCACTTCTGGTTTCCTCTGGCTGCCGCTGCTCCCACCGCCTGCCCCCAGTTCGTTTCCCTCCCTCCCTCCTCTGCCTGCCCCGGTGCGTGATCTTTTCCTGCCACCGCTGCTCTGCGAGAGTTTGCTGCCCTACTTCACTCTACTTTAGTTTCACTCACTTTACATCCGGGTTTTTTCCCTAGGCAATGGGTGCCGCACCACAGCCCGTTCCTTAGGCAAAGGGAAATAAATTCGCTGCACCGACACGTCAAGTAGTCCCTCTGGAGAAGCCTTCAGGCGCCCCCTCCTCTCCCCGAGCAGGCCGGCCACCCCCTCCTCCTTCATTCATAGGGAGATAAGGTGGGGAGCCCCGGTTGAAGGGGAGGCCTCCTACGCCTCCGCTTTTGTCCCCCAAACCTCGGCTCCCTTCTTCGCTTCGGAGAGCGGCCGAAGTAAGCCGCGTTTGTGTGCGAGAGAGTTGTGTCGGGGGCGCGCGGGCAAGCGAGGGAGTCTGGAGCGCGCGCCGCTGGCAGGCCAGGCAAAAGCAAAGCAAAGCAAAGCAAAGCAAAGCAAAGCGAGGAGGGGAGAAAAAAAAAAAACGGAGGGCCGGTGGCGGAGGGATTCAGGCGTGCGGGTGCTGCGGCCGGGCCGGGTGAATGGGATTGAAGAAGAGTTCAGCTTCTCGGCTTGTTTTTGTGTCACAGTTTCTCTTCTTCTGCGCCTCTTCTGCTTCGTTCCTTTCTTCCTGCCTGTCCCCTCCTCCCCTCTGCAGGAGGAGCCCCCCTGGGAAAGGGGAAGGAAAAGGACCCCTCAGAGGAGAGAGAGAGAAGAGAAAAGCAGGAGGAGGAGGAGGAGGAGGAGGGAGCAACCAACCAACCATCTTCCACTCCCAGCTTAGATTAAAGAAAGTGAGAGGAGGAGGAGAGAGAGAGGAGCCAAGAAGAGGGGGACAGGGAGGCCCAGAGGAGCAGCTGCACCGCCTTCTCCCTATGAAGAGGACTCCTTTCCCCCTCAAACAGAGGTCCTGCCAGGGGGACCCCAGCCAGACCACCTCGGCGGCAACATCACCACCACCAGCAGGGTGTAGTATCCCACCTTTTGGATATTCTCTCTCCTTTCCCCCCCCACCTTCCCCTTTCTTTCTCTCCCCCCCAACCCCCCCCCCCGTCCTCTGTTGCCTGGCTCGGGAGTTTCGGGGGGTGGGTGGCGTGGGGGGGGGGAAGAAACAGAGAAAAAGGGTGGATGGTGTGTGGGTGCGCGCTGGGAGGAGGGAGTCCACCATGGAAGACTCCGGAGCCAACTTGGAGATGAGGAGCCACAACTTCAGGGTAATTCACCCGCCCCCCCCCCCCTCCTCACCCGGAGGTATAACGCCTAGGGATGCGGGAAGGGGGCATGTCCTTTCTCTGTCACCTGTGAGGATTGAAGTAAGTTTCTGTAAGAGGAGGAGGAGGAGGTGGTGGTGGGGCGGGAGGGGTTAGGTGACACATTGGAGAGAGAGAGAGAGAGAGAGTGTGTATGTGTGTTGTGGGGGGGAGAGAAATGACACATTTTTGCAAAGGGGGGAAGGGAAGAGGACGATTTCCCCCACTCCTCCTCCCCAGGATGATCTTTTTTCTAGGCCGTTTTTCTGTGGGGTTCATTTTCTTCTTCCTCCCTGATGCTGCCGCCGAGGAAGTTTTATTACCTTGAAGATGCTCCTGCTTTGATGATCGAGGCTTCGTAGTAAAGCTGCTGCGGCGGCGGTTTTTCCTCTCCTCCCTTCTTCTTTTTTCCTCCACCCCCCCCCTTTTTTTTTGCCTTTTAATTTGTCTTGGTAGCCCGAGTAGTGCTGGGAAAATTCCGTTTCTTCAGCAACTTGTTATTCTGAAGTCTCTCTTGCCCCCCTCACCCTGGGGCAGCCCATTTTGCATGGATACAAAGCTCAGTGCAAGGACACCTTTGGGATTTCACACTCCTGCTCTGGCACATGTTTGCAGTGACTGGAGACGTGTACCTTCTTCTCCTCCCTATCTTTTCCTCCCATTTCTCTGTGTTTGGTACAAAGAGTAGGGGGTGTATGGGACTGCCATTTGGTCTGCTTGTTTTGTGCATGTGTATCTTGTTACTTTTCTGTGTGTTTGTTTCTTTGTTATTCTGAGCTTACTACAGATGGGATTCTTTCCCTCCCCCACTTTACATGTCTGCAGTTCAGTTGTTACTTTCAGGATTAAACAATACTTTTTTGTTGTGGATATAAAAATGAATTAGATCAACACAATTAAACCAAGTGACAGAAAATGAGGCTTTATGATCAGTATGCATTTATCTGTGATGTTTACTAGTGACAGGGATGTTCTGAAAGGTGTGAGGATGTCATTTCACTTAAATTGCAGGTTACAAGTCCTTTATTTTAAATGACACATTTATGTGGAGAATAAATTGTTAGTAAAATTGGTGCAAACAACTCCCAAATAAATGTGCTGTTGCCATTTACTGTGTCATGTCTGTAATAAACTTCTCTAAGTAATGATTTGTACATTTTGATGAATTAATGCTTAGTGAAAAATATGTTCATGATTATGGTACAGAGATCTTGGCTGAGTTTTTCAGATATATTTTCAATAAGGACAGTATCTTAAAAAGTTAAGATTTTCATACATAGTATAAATATGAGGTAGAATATTCTAAACATAATGATAAAGTTATGGGTTTTTCTATTGAATAACCTTAGATTTGAAATTAGTAAACCTAGGCATGCAAATCAGAATAAATTATTATAGTATAGTATTCACGAAAAGTGCAGTTCCAGCTCATTATTGTTGAAATGCTATTATTCTGTAAGACTAAAAGTAGCAACAGCTTTAGGGCAAGCATTATTAACATATGATTCTGTAATATCACGGGCCAGTATTTTGCCATACATGCTGTCCAGTCTTAAACAAATTTCTATTGTATTTTTAGAATTTCAACCTTTTGAAATAAAAAGTTCAGCACCAGAAAGAGAATTAGAGTTTTAGGAACTCTTTTTCATAGAACTGCTTGCATTTTATTTATCATTTCCTTTGGCAGAACTTGTCTGGTTTCACTTTCTAACTATTTCTTTTTTCTTTTCTAATGGCTTAACTATAGTGACCACTACAATCTGAGTATATTAGTGAATATTGAATGTTCTTTTCTTATGGAAAGTTAAGATGAGATGGGATTGAAAGTCTTGTTTAACATGCTGGTATTTCAGGGAAAACTGAAGTCAGCTGTCATAAACACTAGTGATCTTGCTAAACATGTGAGGAACTTTGCAAATCTGTAACTTTGAATATATTTTAAACTATATTTTTTAAAATTCTTTTCACAAAATATTGTCTTACTACGTAAATCATTACTAAGAATTTTAAGTAAAAGCACTATTTTTACACATTCTAAGAATTTCTTCACAATTCTAATTCTTACTATGGATTTGAGTAATGTATGTTGGTCAGAAACTTTAGAAAGTATTATCTCTAAAGTAATAAAAATACATTGTAGCAGCATATATAATTGTTCTTAAATGAGAAATGCAGGCTTAACTTCTCAGATCTCTTCTACAATAGTGGCTATAGTAGTCTGGAGAAATGAAAATAGTACATTGTTATGCTTCTTTTAAAAATGGACCATTTGCTGGGGAGTGGTTGGCAAGTTTTGATTGGTATAATGACTGTCAAAAACTTAGCCTACTGGTCTAAGTGTGAGTATTTATGGGAAAATATGAGGCATTATTGACATTAATATGCAGCATTGAAGGTATACTTTTTAAATGGAATTGGGGTACTGTTTTACTACTTACATATGATGGCCTTCAAAACTGATAAAACTTTACTTTCTTAAGGCTGTACTTCTGTATAAGCCTTGGTTGGTCTTCTGAATAGACATGTTTTAAATGCAAGGAAACTGAGGAAAATTTTCTTCCACCTTTTTGTTGATATCTTTTCAAATTAAATATAATGAATTACTACATTTTATTACAGGGTGTAGAACACAAAAGTTTTTGCACTGCAAACATAAATGTATGTGATACTTGGTATCAATATTGTGGCATGTTTTAAAAAACAGCTTCCCCTAGACTAGCTAGACCTGACTCCCACTGGCCATTCCCACTGAGGTGTTAGGACTGTTGAACTCCAACAGATTTGTAGCACCAGTTAAGTGAAGCAGATCTAGACTATATTCAAAACAATAGTTAAGCGTGGAATCAGCTTATTTTCTCTTTCAGTATGTATTGTAAGTTATTTTGATATTGAAACATTTCACATTTTTATATGCATAAGTGTTCAATTTTTGACTTCAATATTTATTTCTTGTAAAAACAAAAGTTCTTAAATTCCAATAATCATTTTGATGTAATCCATCTCTTAAACTTATTTTAATTTTAGTGGGATCAGATCTAATTGCATGCTTAAAATTTAATTGAAATAATGCGATTTGAATATAAGTTTGGATAAAGTTTTTTCTTTTGTTAATTCTATATAGAAAAGTTTCATTGCATTTTTGGATCATATATTTCTTATACTGTAGCATTAATAACAGATTATAATACTAAAGAAAATTTTTACTGTTTCATTCCCATATATAGGAGGAAACAATTTTTCTAAGAACTGGCACCCTAATTTTAAGGCATCTATAGAGAATTTAAATTAGGGTGACTTTGTTTAGTACTTTTGGAATAGATTCAGCACTAAAATTTATTGGGAGCTTAAGTATTCAGGGTATTACTTTGCATAGCTTATTCCATTCCATGTTAGTCCTAATTAAAAATTATTAAACTATGTACTTAACTGGAAATCTGCTGAAATCAATAGGAATAATTTCTGAGTAGATATGTATAGAATTGCAGTAGTATTAGTGTAACTCATATAGTTTAAAGATACATTTTCATTCTTTTCACTTTTAATGAATAATACAGTGGACAAACTTTCACAAGAAATCAACGATGTGATTAATAATCTTTGTGATATCTGAGCTAACTTTAAAAAGCAGTAATTCTTGATTTCATCAGAATATTTTAATATTTGGACATTTAAATGTATGATCCTGTTATAAAAATACACCTGATAGTAATTTTATAGTGGTCCTACATTGCTATTTTACATGGTTCCATGTAAATTTTGAATATGAACCCAGTTCTTTCTTGTCTTGTAGAAGCCTTCTGAATAGTTTTCTTTTTTTAAGAACGCATGGTACAAAGAGAGATCACTGCTTCATTAGTTCAAGTTTCACATTTTACATTGAACTCATATGATCTGACATAAATGGATAATTTAAAGGATTAAGGTATTTTGGGATAAAGAGTTTTATTTATTTACAATGATTTTTTATGTTCCTCACTTTTGTAGACTTCGGTGGTAGCCTTCACAGCATTAGCGCTATGTAACAGTCTTGTTTTGAGAGGAGGGTTTTTATTTTTTTGAAGGCCAGGAAGTTAGGTTCATTCCATAATACAGGATACAATCACAGCATAGGGAACCTTGGAGGCCCTTTTGTGAGAATCCATGGGATTGGTTGAGAGAGGTGATCCTGAAAGTGCATTAAATTGCAAGGAGAAATAATTGATTAATTTGTCTCTAACTGAAAGTATTTTGGAAATGATATATTTTGTGTAGCTATTTAGAGAGTTATATGTTTGCAGATAATTGGGTATGTGATAGGAATAGATTGACCCCAACTATGTCAGAGAATGAAGAAATTTCCAAGTTATTATCCTACTGCTTTGGATGTTAAACTGGGCACAATAACTGGTTTCTTTACTATTAAACTTATATAAGTATTGTAGATTTTATTTATCTTTGTTATTGCTCACAAATATTTTAGTAAAGTATTTGAAGAACCATAGATGTTTGAAAAGATGTTCACAAAAAAATTTCTACAGTAGTTATGGTATTAAAAAAAAAATCCTCTGGTTGTTAACTTGTGTCATTCATGGGGTATCTTTTAAGAAGAAAAATCTGTTTGCTGTGTTTTTGCAAGTTCTTAAGGACCAATGCGTTTCTGAGAGTTACACCCTCATTTCACTTGTTATATTTAATTTCTTGTAGTGTTTTTTATGGGACATTATATTGTGTTTTTTTC